TTAGTTGTTGGTGTTGCATATAATTTATTATGTTTTATTATTCATGCAAATCCTATGAATAGATATAGAATGCTATGTTATAAGGCACTATATTTTGAAATAAATACATTTAAGATTACTTTCTTTTCTTTCCAAATTCTGTAGACATCAAATACTACTTACTATTATCTGTTTGTACACTTCAACGTTACTAAGCCCACTCCGCAAATGTGAACGATTAGGCTTTTTCATGAAAGCCCATCGAAATGCCTCTGATTTGAGCAAGCTTCTCTTTCATTTGAGAATTGAGACAGCTCAAGATTCAACGGTTCATTGTTTAGGTGCTTCGCTGAATCTGTCTACCCAACAGTTTAAGATCTGCTTCCTTGAGTTCCATGTACTTGCCTAGTCTGAAACGGTCAATAACAGCCAAAATGCCACTTAGAAATAGCAAAGAATAAAATAAGTGTTTTGTATTCAAACAAAGCTTCAAGAACGAAAAAAAAAAAAGGAAAGTAATAAAGCGCATCACTAATTAGCTCCTCAAATAGAAGTTTCAGCCTCCTCAGAAGGTCACTTGGTCAGTAACAATTAGAGGTGCAAACGAGTCGAGTCAAATTCAAGCCAGGTGATGTTCGAGTCGAGTTTGATTGTCAAATTCTGAGCTCGACTCATCTCATGTCGAGCAGCTCGCCGAGCTCCATCCCGAACAAGCTAGCAGCACACGAGCTCCGTCGTCCCAAGGTCAACCGCTCGACTCGTCAGCTCCGTCATCATGCTCCTTCGTCCAGAGGTCAGGCGTCGTCATTTCATTTTCCCTTGTCGATGTTTCATTTTCTCGCCCAGTCGTCCCGCAATTTTCTTTTCCCGCCGGAATGTCATCTTCACGAGCTGCTTGACGAGCTGACGAGTTGAGAAGAGGACTATCGAGCACGAGCTCGATAAGCCATCGAGCTCGAAATCGTGTTAGAGCTCAACCCGCGAGCTCGATCCTGTTAACGAGTTGAATCCGAGCAGGCTTGACTCGGTTGCACCCAAAGTTCCAATTAACAGACTACACAAACTTATGTGGTAAAATAAAAGACAATGTTATGTCTACTCAGAAAACAGGTTCATAGTGAACTTTGACGCGGATTAAATTTGGTTTTGAGGAGTTCAAAAGGACCAGAAATAAAATATATATTACTAACTAATTGTCTTTTATTGTACCACATAATAAAAAAAACTAAATTTTTTCTACAACTAATTTATGGACAACCACAGCCATCCCAGATCAACTAAAGTGCAAGAGGAAATCTAGCAAATCACAGGCAAATTTATTAAGACAAAAGTGCATGCATATTTAAAAGTAATAAGCATGGCAAGTTAGAACATGTGATAAGCCTCTCCATAATGACAGTGGAGTGAAGATTCTTAAAGATTGAATAGAAGAGGAACTAGCAGATTACTGTAATAAAAGTATCCTATAAAAAGCAAACTGAATTACCCTAGGTATGATGGAAGCCGGAATCCACCAATCCTCACTCGTTTTAGTGAATGAATCTATCAGAATATAATAACAAAAAAATTAGTATAACAAGTTACTGAAGGAAGCAGTAATTGAATATTTTTGTATAGTACTTGTGTCCATGCATGAATGAACAGTTTTGAAAAGTGAGCTTTTGAAGAGGAGAAATTCTACAAAAGGAGCTATTATTCTGTGCGGACACCGGACGGTAGAATTGCCCGGTTTCGTGCTCGGTATCGAGCGCGGTACATTTTTGAGATGCCGTGGCACATTTTTATTGGTCTCCGGATGCTCCGGACTCTGCACAAAATAAAAATTCCTACAAAAGGGGTTTAACCTTCAAACTTCAGTGACACCATAATTGGATACAAAGAAGGGCAGGATTCACTTTACTCCTAAGGAAAGCTTATTCTTCCTTAGCCTTAATTCAGACAAACCGAAGTTTTGCTTGCAGATAAGCGGACATCGAAGATGGCAAGAGATGAAGTGGAAAGGCATAAGTGGGATGTAGGAGGCAAATGCAATTAGCAGTGTTATAGTAGGGCTTTGAGATTTGTTAGATAGCAAAATTGGTTCCCTGAGATCTTGCAGCTTCAGGCAAGGAGAGAAAAAGGAGAAGTTCCGCCAGTATTAATGAGGAGCAGAACCCCGGTAATCCATCTCAATCTGGAGTCGAGCTCAGAGGATGAACTGAATACTGTTCGTGAACCCGCTAATCCAACTAGCAAGAAGGCCAAGTTCGAGATTCCACTTGAAGCAGACAGTGATGAAGACATAGCCCAAGACAAGAAGGAAGGTCAAGATAAGTCTGAGTCTTCAATGTATGAGAGGGTAAACCAGTACGTGCGCACTTTAGCCTTGACCCCACTAACCTCTGGTACGGTGGGCGAGTTACAGGTCAAAGTTGCACCTCAACTGGAGGGCTCAAATAAGCTTCCAAAGAGTGATTGGCATTTACCATAACAAAATGCCTACTTTAAAAAATGACTTGCTCGGAATGCTATGCGATGAGCAAGCACTCTTCTTATTATTTGGTGGGGATGCTACTACATGCAAAACCAAGCTAAAACGACATATTCTAAGTACTTTCTAAAAAACAAGAGGTTCATTTAACTTTAACCTGAAGTCCAGCATTTTTTATCAATTCACGCACTTCATGATTCCTGCCTTCATGCACCTGCCAAAACAACAATTCACTGTAGCGTCCACTAAAAATATTTCAATAGTAATAGTCCTAGAGGAAACATTTTAAAAAACACACAAAAAGGTTGTTGATCAATTTGGATGTATCATGATATCCACATAAATTCGAAATGCAGGAGGATAGAAGATGTCTTGAAAGCTAATTAAACAACCAACAAAAAACAGGAACAAGCAATAAATTTAAATAATCAGATTTTTCACTTTTCATAATTTTGCATATTTCACGAGGTTGTTAATGGAAATTTGAAGTTTTATACTCGGAAATTCTGTATGTGAGCAGTAATATGAGCTCGTGGTAGTGGTTTGCGTTGCTTTAAATTTATTTTTTTTAGGTTTTTGATTTCTTTTCATTCATAGTAAACATGCCTATGATGATTGTGTTTATGATAATGACGTATTTTCTAATATTTAGATTATCTTGATGGGTCAGATTTACTGCTTCCTTAATCAGATTCCCGGTACGCAGCTGATTTTAAATCTTCTGTTCTTAGCACCTAGGTTTCCTCTGTTTGCCCACAATGTAGGTGGTGATGTAGATTGAACGCTTGCCATCTGCCGCCTTCGAATGCTGTTACTGTTAATTTGCAGCTGATTTAGGGAGTATTGTGTGCTTCACAAGATTTTAAATCCACCGCATGTTACCTAAAATAGATTCTTCCTTACTTTCTGCAGTCCAACTTCTATTCAGCTTTTCTGATGAAACAGTGTATCATGCATGAAACCCCTTACGTAAAAAAAGCTAAACTCTTAAACATTGGTGTCTTTTGGTGTAATTGTTGGAATTTTATTTAAGAAACTCCGCAGTTAACCGTGCTCATCCCAGATCAATTATGGGATGGGTGAACTATTAAGAAGTTACACTAACAAGACAAAACTGTGAAGATCTTAGGCCAGAACGGACAATATCTCGATAGTTAAAAGTTTGGGTTGTTACAAATGATATCAAAGCAATACACCAGCCGGGAGATAGGAACTAAGTATCATACAAGACAAAGTGATACACCAACCTCTTGAACCTTGTATGGGACAAAGTGCTACATTACGGGAGTGTGGGCACCAAAAATTCGGCCCCAGCTTCCGCCCGACTGTGCTTTTCTTCGGCGAGGAGTTTTAATGGATTAAGTTCCGAGGTAAATTTTGGAAGGCAGATAGGTTTGTATATAAGACACTACCTAGAGATTTCGCCCTCATTTTGTGAGGACTTTATGATCTCTGAGTTCTGG